GGGTTTTTCAACTACTCAGCTAATGAAAGTATATGGGGTGGGACAATGGTACTTCTGATTGTGATGCTGTTAAAGAGAATTCTTTATAAATTTTAAATGAAAGGCAGGTAAGCACAAACACTTTAAAGATAATTTTAAAAGATCATAATGACTGGTTTTAAATGAACTAAACAATAAATATTTGGGGAGGGCAATTTCTGGTGTCCCTGAAATAAGCCAACTAAGTAGAGCGCACTGGATGAAGGTGCAGTGAGTAATCTTTGGAATTCTAAACCATTTCTCTCTTTCTTCCTTAGAAGTCAACCAGGAGAGAAGTAATCCATTTTAGCTCCTTCATTTTAGTAAATTCTTTCATCTAGAGAAAGCGTTTTAATTCATCTGGACACCCTGTGCTCAGTCACCAAGTTTTAACACGGTGGCATGCTATAAGTCTCGCAACGATAGCTCTGGTGGGAAGGTCTTAACTATGGGGCCATCTTCCCACCTAGGCTGTGCCACCGACTGGCTGTCTCACTTCTGGCAAGTGACTCTCCCCGAGTCTGTTCCCGGTCCATAGCCGGGGCTCAGAGGCCCACCTCGCTGGCTTGGAGGGGATGCCTGGAACATGCGAGGTGCTCAGGAAACACCTGCTGAAAGGTCAGTCAGCGATGGCTCCAGAAACACTCATGCTAAAGGCATTTTAGTCAGTTATCTTATCAAGCAGTTCTCCAGATTCCAAAATAATATGGACAGGCGATCGGTAATTTTCATACAAATAGCGTGAATGCATCGATACATCGCTACACTTCTTTAACTTGTCAAGCAAATGACAAGAAACAATTCATGCGACCAAAATTACTCAAACAATTTTATTCTAGAATTAAAGAGAATACTATCTTGGAAAATGCACAAGTGACTACTTTTTGACTAAAACCCCTGAAAATCCTTGAATTTCTCAGTTGTTAGCTCTCTTTAGCCCGGTACGATTAAATTGCTGATGGTTGGCCTACTCTAAATTTTTAGTGGAATTCAACTGTTGGCTCACAAACAATATGCACTGGGTAAAAGGACACCGCTGGTCATTTTTTAAGCAGCCTGCTTTTGAAACAGAAGGACTCCAACCATAATATGCCGTCATAAAAACATCAAACAGGTTAATTTTGGCTTGTTAATGGCAGAGACTGTGACTTCACAACTGTACGGGAAGACGTCAGACCTGGAACTGGATGGATCGGAGGGGACAGGCCGCCAGAAACAAAGGCTATAAAGAAATAAAAATGTCTTCTAAGCACACTAAAGCAAAACAAATGATTGGATTTGGATTTAACAAAACATCGTCTTATGTGTCTCTGCTCTTGCACCAGTTCTTTTTCCTACGTGAAGACAGTGGGCATTTCCCCTCTCGGGCCACGATTCTCCGCTGCGGAAAAGACGGCTGCTGGCGAGCCCGGCGCAGCTTTCTGTGCTTACAGCATGTTGCGTTCCAATAAGTTTTAATGCCCAAAATGATTTTAATTTAGTTCTGGTGAGAGGTAAAATGAAAATAAACAAATCAGAGGAGATTATTGGATTCTATCTGAAGACTTAATAGTGCTTATTTTAGGGCTTTAATTTAGAGGCAGTGTTTACTTTTTACTGAAAATTATCATTAATAAGAAAAGTAGTATTATCATGGAACAACTGGATTTTTTTAAAAAAGTTTGATAATTCAGTGTACCAAAGCTAAAGCTGATAATCTATACTTTATCAGGCAAGGTACAGAACAATGTATATGTTTACAATTTGCAGTCACATTCTTGCCCCGTGATTAAGAATTAGGAAATTATCCTGACAGCAAACAGGTCTTAGTTAAACGTTATTAATCTACGCGGCAAGGTATCATCCAGCTCTCTGGAGGATGCTGGAGTCACTTTGCCAGTGGAATAATCTCAGTCACTCTATCACAAGTTTTGCATCTGTGACTTTCTTCATAAGCCTGGAGTAGAAACCTATCTTTGAAAGGGATGTTAAAAGAGTACATGAAAAGCTTGTGCAAAAATAAACTGTAGCACCTGGGGCTTCTTAATTTTTACACTATAATACCTTGGACTTTTCTACCTCGACACATCCGGAGTGAATTCTTTGATGAAAAGAGAGAGAAATAAATTACATATGGAATGGAGAGGGCCTTTATTATCATTTTAATAGTCCACAGACACATAAAAGGGAGATGCGCTCACTCCGTGGTGGGACCTAAATCTAAAAATATTCACTGACTTAGCAATAAAAAAAATTTAATATGATATGAAAAATGGAAACAGTTTTTTGAAGCGATGTGAATATGCAACTTTTCAAAGGCTTCAAGAAAATTTAATGAAGAAAAATAAAACCAAACCATTAAATGGCTCTGTAAATAACTAGAGTTTGCTCCTCCTGTGACATTTTTTAACTTAATGGAAATACTGAATATATTCACAGACTATCAGAGATCATAGGCAATGAAATTCCAGACATCAGAAACAATCAACTTTTATGAACAGCTTCATAAGCAACCGTACCACACGCCCCCACTTTCAGGAGACAGCATATAGATTAAACACGGATATAATATGCAGTTCGGGTGGTTGGCATTGGATTCGAATATTATTTATTCCTAACCTTTTCAGAATATTCTTAGATGATTTTCGAATGAGATCATGCACTTTCAGTACGTGCAGACTGCTCTCAGGCTCCCTGTTTTTGTTGGGGTGGAGGTTTTGATGTTTGGAATGGGGGGAGCCTGGAACTCTTCCCACGTGCTCCCAATGATCTATACATTATTGTATATTCTCTGCCATCGAGATACTCTTGCCAGAGCTACGATGCTTCCAAACAGCATCCCATTCAGACGTGCAAAATTGAAAATTAAAATAGGAGGGCTTTTTATTATTATTGTTTGAATGACATACGACCTGCTCAATGTTTGCATTTAAATTGGCCAGAATAATTCAGCTCTGGCTTTTAATTTCAGAAGGGTTAATCACCCTAGCAAAGGTCAATCAAACTTTAATCTCCAATAAAATTGCTGCAGCCCCAATCACCTGCAGGACATTTATTACATTCCTATTTCCATGGGAAAGAATGCATTGCTTTCATTACGTGCCACTAATCTTCTAACTCTTTACATTAGCACATTTTACCAAAATATATTAATTCCTTTGAAACTCTGACGAGAGTTCATTTCTACACATCTCAGGAGATAATCCTGTTTAAAGGAACGGGTGCATTAGCTGTGAACCACTTTCCAGGCCCTTTCTAATCCTCATAGACCTTCGCTACTCCAACTGAGTTTATACAATAGCAAATCTCAATTACACAAAACATTATGGAGGTTTAGGTTAAAACAACATTATATTATTTTAGGAACTTAATCCTCCGTATTGTCTGTATTATACTATTCATCTACTTGTTTCTGTCCATAATGTTTACCACGTACAAGAGTTATTATTGATCTGGAGGAAGCAAATGTTAACCATATTTGCATAGCAGTAGAAAGACTTAAGTTCATTAATTCATTCACTGAATGAATATATATTCCGTGCCTATTATATACTGGACGCTAGAAGGGGAGAGATGCAAAGTCAAACAAAAAAAGAGAGAGTATCTGTCATGAGAATAACATTCTCTTCTGAAAATGATGTCCGGAATCCAATCAAATAATTATGTAAACCTTCACGTTCAGCTTTTTTTTATCAATGTCATTCAATTTTAGAAAAGCCTAAAAATGTGCGTCAAATTTTAAGCACAATTTCAATACGCAGGTTTTAAAAAACTACCTGGACGCTTAAAGGTTCTAAAATTCACAATCCCATAACATGATTCACTTTTAAAATTTGACTGTCAAATTTTAAGACGAGTATATTCAAACCACCGGTCCCCCATGGTTAAGCATAAAACCACGAGAAAGTTTAAATGGGCTTATTAAAAATATACACGCTACAAATTAATTTGTTTCCAAAATGCTATTTCATGATGTTTAAACCCTGTTATTAACACAAAAGACAAAAAGCAACGGGCAAAAAAATGAATCGTTGGGTTGGGTTTTTTTTGCCATGATATAGTGGCCTGGATGACCACACGGGGGAAATAAAAGAGCCTTAACGCATGTCTTCAATTACATAGCAGATTGATTGCCTCGGTATCGGAGCAGTGGTGTGACACAGCATTAATAAGCCAAACTTTGCCTTCTGCACATTTTTAAGATGCTTCCTGTCTCTGTGCTCGGAGGAAGCGCACGGGCACATACACAGACATGCCCCTTTCCCCGACACTCACGTTCATTCATTAGCAATATGCCACGGCTATAATTTGGGAAACTCCCCAGAGCTTGAATATTCAACCAAGCAGAGCAAATCACAGTGAAAAGAAAATACAGGTATAACAGTCAATGGCCAGACTGGCACTGGGGAGCAGCACATCATTTCAAGAACTACCAGGCCCTCTAAATGTTGTCAAAAGCCCCAATTACTTTGTTTAATTAAAATCAAGACTTCAGTCCTCTCGTCCCTCACTGCGAGCATTTCTTGAAACTAAAATAGAACCTCTGCACCTCCCATAATTATGCTCGTTTTTTTTGCTCCTGTAACTAGGCTGACAAGACAGAACGAGGCAGAGCAAGGGCTGTTACGCTGCTGAGCAAACTACATCGAATGTTTCGTGATATAAACGTTCAACTGACATTTGTTACCAAATAGTTATTCTAAAACCTGATAAAGATCAGTAATACTTTCAACAATAAAGATCAATTTTAAAAAAAAGATGAGCTAGACACAACGATGGGGAAACTCTCAGTATCGAAAGCTATTTCATTATATTTCTGAATTTCCAGATTGAGAAAAAAAAAACCCCAAAGCTTTCAGAGAATATGCTCTACATATTCAAGAAGCATATGGATCTTTTTGTGAATCACTGTGGTCACGTAACAAAACAGAACTCACCAACCATCACACACAAAAAAACCTTAATAAGAAATCCCAGGCTGTGGAATTATGAAAGAAACATACCTTTGAGTGAACAAGTTTGTGATTGCTCCTCTTGCCTACACAGCTCTGCCGTTCCACCTTGAGCAAAAGTCGACTCGGTGTCCCTTGTGATCTTTGTGACAATGCCATCATATCACCGGCAAATTTTTCGATTAAACTTTGCCGACGTAGTAGCAACTTTGTTAATTATGATATTAGCCAGCTGGCGGGTACAATCAGTCAACCGCTGTAGGAAAGCCAGACAAAGAGACATCTAATCACCGCAACCAGAGCAGATAAATTTTGTTCCCGTCTCATCCGTGTCACAGATTCTATCCCTGCTGACCCTCTCCTCAGCCACCGACTGTCAAATTTAGATTCTTCGAGCTCCTTGCTCCCCCTTATCCCTGCCTTAGATCTGAAACTCCCGGTTATCAGGAAGACACGTGTCACCAGCTGTCTCCGGGCAGGAAAGCAATCAGGTGAACGCTACTTATTACCTTGCATTGCTTTCCGAGCAGTGACAAGATTGATTTGGGACCACGAATACATTCGGCTCTCAGACATGTGGTTCCCAGGGTCTGAGTTCAAACAGTGGGCTAAGTGCAAGGTCGCCAACAGGGAGGGCTTCAAGCCGTGTTAAGGATATGGGATATTAGAAATATAAGGAGAATTTTTGGAAATCTATCCGAGTTCTTTTTTCAGATGCCTTTGTATTTTCTTTCCCACCTCTGTGCCTCCTTGGTAATATCGATGGGCAGATTGTTACCCAGAGGAGCCAGCTTCATGGCTAAGTAGCCTTACGTCAACCCATACAAGTGGCATTCTGACATCATTGTCTCCACCCATCCCTTTTTCATCAAGAACTGTACTCTATAAATTTCAATTTCTGGAACATATCCTCACATAAAAGTTCAAATCACATTTATACAGGATAATATGAGAAACTAATTTGGGTATCTCAGTTAAAAATCATTTATACAACTTTGGATTGAGAGATATTTTTCTTTACATCCTAATACAAATTTTCCTCTGAAAAAAATCAGTCCACTGGAATCATACAGAAATGTAAATCTATCAATCAATTGATCCATAGGTAGATATACACACAAATACGTAAAATGAATTTACAGAAAGTTAAATGCATATTAGGTAACATGCATAACATTCCCATAAAATGATATAACAACATTTTTGGTAGTGAAACATTCAATTGATCCGTAAAAAGCTTGATCTGCATAGTAAGCCACTAAGCCAATGTCATATTTACTAAATGATATTTTCCCCCACTGAAATGTTAAGCACCAGTGAGGTAAAAATTATGCACTGCAGAGTTGAAAAAGAGTAATATACAACATGATAATAAAGTCATGTTTATCGACAAATTAGTAGGTCTTTCAGGGATGGAAGATTTCAGTGGAAAGTTAAAGTGCAATCATTTTAAAGTGTATTTACATAGGAATTCTATATATTTGGCTCCATAAAGGGACCAAAATGGTTATCACTACCTTTGAAAAATGCAGTTATAGTGTAGGGTATTAACAGACTATGGTGTGTACCCTAAATTTACATTTTATTTTCACATGAGGATGTTCCTGTAATGGAGGATCCGAAGTCCCTGCACTTGGTTTATTTGGCCTAAAGTGCTGAAAAGATCAATGCGTCGAGATGCAATATAAGATACATGCCACGGGGTAAAGGCGATTTAAGGATTTTCAAACTACAGAGCAAAATACTTTCATACTGGGGAGATACAAGGGTTTCTTAAGTCCCAGCACAGAGATGGGAGGGGGAAGATATGGTTTCAGGAATTCTTAGAAATTATATACATGTATATCTCTCTCTGAAAGTAAGATATTCTTTATCCTTTATTTCTTACACTGATGTTAAGAAATGAGTCGGAGCCCATAAAGCAAAAGAGAGAGTCAGAAGTGTGAGAGGGTGAGAGTGTGATGTGGCACAACGTCAAGGCAGAAGCCCCCTGGGTGAGAGCTTAGTAACGCTCCGCCAGGGAACGAGCTGTGCCCGTCACAGGCACCCTCATAAACCCGGTGACGATCATGGGGCCCGGCTCATAGTAGTTTCTCAAGAAACACTTATTGATGAAGACTGAATACTTTTGTAGTACACACTGTATTCCTCCAAGCCCAATTCACCTACTTCTAAAATGAAATAATGCAAAAAAAACCCCCCAAAACTCATCAGGCCTATGTTGATTGCTGTACATCAATTAGCATATATTCATTCATATTATACCATTTAAATACTGAAAAACAGTTCATATCTACAAAGAGTTCAAAATAGGCATTTCCTTTACGATTACAAAATAAGTGTATTAATAATGCTCACTATTTGCTCCCATGAAAATATAACTCCAAAAGTTTGAGTCAGTCAAAAAGGTCTTTAGTTTTTGACTGAACAAAGGACTTTCTCCTAGGAAATGCAAAGAGAATAAAATATATTACGTACACCAAATTTCTCATTGCAGTTCTATCTATAAGAGAAAATGGAAACAACCTAGTGTCCCCAGTGAGGGAAATTATTAAAGAAATTATGGCAATTACTCGTATGCAGTCATTATGTGACAATGAGGATGACTGAGAAAGCCAACTTCTTAAGACTATACTGAATGAAAAAAGCAGAATATAGAACTGTACATATGTTGATCGCTGAGTACATGTGGACAAAGATGGGAAGGAGAAATGCAAAAATAGAGATGTTCTGTGGGGTTAGAAAGTATTTTCTTCTTTTACAAAGGCAGGCCTTAACACCATAATAACTGTTCATTTCAAAAACTTAGAAATTAAAAAAAAAATCTGTAAAATGAGAACAAAAATCATAATAATATCCTCCTGAGAGGGATTTGGTATTAAACTAGATAATGCATATAAAACCTTTTGCGTATTGCCTGACCTGCAGTAAATGCTCATTACGTAGCTGGGTCATTATCTTTACTCTAATGACCAAATAAACAGTCCCGACATGTCTTTCCATACTTACAGCATCTTTTACTTTTTCTGTGAAACGTTACATAAAAGTGGAGGAATGAAATGAGGCAATGGTAGAAAAACTAAGTTGACACAGAAGAAATGGACCTGGAAAAATCGATACCATGAGGAACCTCAGTGCTGCTTTTTTTATTTTCCAGGGTGGGCACTTGCTGATTTCTGCTCCCCATGGGCACAAATTCCAACTCAGAGCAGCGCCACCTTTCTCTAGGGCATGCCACATGTCATGAGTGTTTGTTATATAAATACAATGTATGGGAGTGGGGTTTTGTAACGATGGAAGTAGTGAGAACAAAGCAATCTGGACGTGGAGACACTGTCCACGGAGAAGCATGTGGATCCGTGCAGGCCACTAGTCCACTCTGCCACTGATGGTGTTACAGGTGTGCCACCGACCGTCTCCCGTGGGCCTCTGCAGCAGCCCTTCTTAATCCCTCTGATCACTTGAATACATTAAATTAAGTCTCATACGTATATTCATTTCATTTCTGCCTTCCAGCCTGCTGGATATAAATTCAAAAGCCTAAATTCCTGTTTCTGCTATACTGTGGTCTCAGGAGTGAGACGTCCTGTTTCCATGCCATTCCTGGCTCCTGCCTTCCTAGCTCTGGCACTTTGGAGAAAGTGATTAAATCTCATTGAGGCTCTGTTAAAAAAATCACAATACCTTGTAATGCTATTGTAAACATTAAATAATACAGGCCAATTGCTTAGCACATCGTAGGTGTCCACTAAATGCCCTGTGACTGCGAAAGTGGCAGTGGAACGGCTGGGAAGCAGGGCAGCCCGGCAATAGGAGCCGGGGATCCAGAATCTCGCTTTTGGGTCAATTCAGATCCTGGCTTTCTCACTTAAATAATTAATAACAACCACAACAATAGTAAAAACTTCCCCATAGAGTAATAAGAATTAAATGACTACTATCAAGAACTCACCACATAGTAACTAACGTTTGCAATTACGGTTATTACTCCTGCCTCCTATGCTCATTGGTCATTTCTCCCTCATTGTTTAGCTAGTATTTAGTAAAATTACATCAGGACTTTGCGAAGACGGCAGAACACATATATTCACATGTGTTTGCCAACAGGTGGACAAGGTCTTCACTGCAGCGCTATTGTAATAGCAAAAGACTGAGAAGGGTGTACAAAGTCACGCAAGGTAACAGGTTAAATGAGGCACAGCCGTACTGGGGAATGCCGTGCGGCCGTCAAATGGACGAAGTACTGATATGAAATTATTTCTATGATACATTTTAAGGGAAAGAATGATGCAGAACCATGTGCATCGGATGTTATCATTTTGTTTAATAAGGATTTGTACATAATGTTTTACATTTAGAGAATATCTCTGGAGAACACACAAGAAGCAGCTAACTGGTTGCTTCAGCAGGGAAACTGGGGCTTGAGAGAGCAGAAGTGACCAAATTTCACCTTAAAAAATGCATTATCCCTACTTAAATATGCAACCAGTATATTTCAGTTTCTTTATAAAAAAGCCTGGAAGCCTCCACTTTCCCATGCTAGTGGACACAACTCACCAGCTCATGTCTGCCCCGTGGTCCACAGGATACACAGGGCTGATTTTCTGAACCATACCATGACCTCACTACCTTCTGCTTTGAACTCTCATTTCAAGGCTATTTTCAATTGAATTTGTTGCAGGAGTTAATCTTCCTCACCCAATAAATGCGAAGCAGTAGATATTCCTACAGCATCTCCTTTCTCAAAGGATGTCTTCTTTAGAAAGGATTTTATTCAGCACAAGAGACACTAACTGCATTCCCACATCCTGTACAATTCTAGAGTCATTTCAAGTAAGGAGCTCTCTCTACATGTTCCAGATGCATAAATGTTTGTCCTCAGACAGGCACTTTAGTCTCAAGGCTAAGTTCCCAAATGCCAGCAGAATGTGCAAAGCCAAGGGCTTCTGGTGGCACACAAGATAGAACATAGCACATACACCTGATATGTAATAAATTGTGAACTGATCACCTTAAAGTTTGGGGTGGGCTTAAAACTTTGAGAACTCATTGCTAATCATAAGCATCATCTAAACAAATGTCCACCGACACCTTCATAGGAATCTTCCAAGTAACACATTTTCTCCCTATTTGAAACCGACAGTCTTTTCTACACCTAGAAGGACAACTACCAAGCACAGATAATATGCATCGGAATGCCTGGGTCCCCAGCGGGCGATCTCAGGCAACCTGTGGCTCCTGTTGCCTCGTCTGTAA